TCTCTACATTTTGACCAGTTGTGGCCTTCTGTATTCAACACCCTCTGTTACATGAGGAAACTTCGCTGGTGGGAGTTGAGAGATGCATTATCATTCTCTCTACCCCCTGTTCCTCTGTGTTCCATGAGCCTTAGGTGTAGAGGTGTCCCTTAGAGTTGGGCATCTCACAGACACTTATTTTCTGTGTGTGACCAGTTGTATAATTCTATAATATTCTCCATCTGTTACAAAAAGAGCCTTCTTTGATGAGTGATGACTGGTATACTTATCTGTAAATATAAGTATCTGTATTTAGCATACAGTAAGAAATTACATTTGTCTAGGGATGTGACAGATGTAAGGTTTTCTTTAGGCTCTATGACCTCTCCAGTTATATGTATTTGGCTATATTTACAATACCACACAGTATTCCCTCCCACTGAGTAGGCTTTAAGTTCAATTATATAGCGCTCGATTACCCCGAAGATAAAAGTGCTGAGGACAGGATGTACTTTGAACACAGGACTTGGAGCAGTGGAGCTGTGACTGACCTGGAAGCCTCCTCCCTGAAGACTAGCTCCCATAAGTTTAGAGAACAGTATGCAAGCTGTTAAGGAAGAAAATTAATCAATGGTCCTACCCAGCTTTAATAACCACACAATGACCGGCACAGTAGTTAATGTAATTATTTTCTTCTACAACCTGAGCACTGATTTTTTTTTCCCATTTCTTCTAATTTTAGAATCTTTTTTTCATTCATTTATTTATTCGTATGTATGTATGTGTCCTGGTACATGTATAGTGGTCAGAGGACAACTTATGGGAGTTAGTTCTCTCCTTCTATTATGTGGATCCTGAGGATCAAACTGAGATGGTCAAGCTTAGCAGCAAGCACCTTTACGTACTGAGCCATCTCACCAACCATCTAAGAGATATTTTTTTAAAAAATCTTTTTCTTTTTGGTATTATTGAGATAAAGGTAAATCAAAAAGTTCACAAATGATGCTGAGATAGCTGGATCATCAAATGGAAAAATAAATTACTAGCTATACATTCTACCCTAAACTGAGAACAAATTCCAAATAGATTAGGAATTTAAATGTAAAACAAAACAAAAAAAAACATAAGCAAACAGGTAGGAAGGAAATGAAACCACACAAGCTCTGAAAGAAAACACAAAGGAATTTTGCCTGCTTCAACGTTGGGTGTCACAAAGGGAAGCTGTCTAACCAGGCCTAAAATCCAGAGGCAATCAAAGAAAACTGGTGAATTTGCATAAGAACTTTTAATATTTTGGCTTTGGGTGGCTTTTATTTTGTTTCTGTTTTTGGAAATGTGGTCTTGCTAGGCAAGTCAAGTAGGCCTGAAATCACTATGTAGCCACAGCTAGCCTTGAACACACAATCTTCTAGCCTTAGTCTCCCCAGTGCAGTGGAGAAGGTCTGGGGGTGGGGGTGCAACTTTAAAAATTTTTTGCATGTCAAAAAAAATCAAAATCAAATGACAACTGACAAACTGAAAGAGAATATTTGCAATATATACCAGAGATGTGGTGCTGCTGCCTAAACAAAAAATATGTAAATAAATAAGAAAAAAAAATTACCAAGAGCCTGCTTGGAAAATAGGGGAAGGGGAGTTTGAAAAAATTCGCAAAAAAAAATACTCCTCAGGTATATTCTTAAATGTTCTCTTATACTTAATTCAAAAATTCCTACATAAACAATGCTGAGCTACTGTTTCTTACCCATCAGTAACAAAAGTTTAAAGTAGAGACAATAGGAGCTGCTTCCTCTGGGTGAGAGGGTGCCCCCAGAGTGCCAGCAGGAATGCAGATTGATGTACTCACCCTGAAGGAAACCTGGCAGTGCCAAAGAACCTGACCTAGCAAGCTCATTTCTAGGAATAATGCTGGAACTGGTGTCTATCCTGGGCGGTGGTCGGTGTATGTGCATGCTTCCAGCTCCCAGAGACCGGTAGTAATGAACGTACCTTCTTCATAGATCATGGTTTCTAAGCACCGTTCTCTACGAAAAGGAAGTAGAGCTCCTTAGAGAAGTGATTAACTTCAGAGCTTTGGCAGAGAAATTATTAGGTGAGCCTGCAGTATATTCTGATGCCAGAAAGTCTTAAAATGGTCAGAAAAGCATGAGGACTTAGTGAAAGAACTTAGGAGCCAACCTATAATCGTTCTTAATTGCCAAAAATGAAACATTTTTACCAATAGGACAAAATACCAATGGTATTGGTTTTTTATCCTTTACATTAAGACAGCTATCTATGAGTCTATACTAGCATAAAAATCAAATAAATAAAAAGGATGACTCCTCCTTGCAGAAGAATTCTAATTAGTAAATGTAGGCAGAGAAAAGGGATAGAAAAATTGGCACTGCATAAATAATTACATGATGTTGCAAACAAGATCCATGGAAGGATGCTAAAACTAGTGAACAAAATTTCATGGGAAACTTTGAGGAAGAATGAAATTTTTTTTGTATAGTTTCAAAGTTGGAATCATTGAAGGCTTGACCTAGGGCTGGAAGGAACTGATTCCAGATGGATAGTCTGTGTCCCACAACCTCGTTTCCTGTCTGTAAAGCTTCTAAGGAGCCCTTATGACAGGAAGCTCTCTTCTTCCAGCCAGTGTGAGAGGAAGCTGCAGTGCCTTTTGTGCCTTGAGCTCTGGAATTACAGCTACCAGTTTTGACCTATTTCTGGGAGACACTATCAAGTCACCAAGTGAAAAAGGCATTTTAAGGTAGTAACCCAGTTATTTGTATTAAGTGCTGGCGCTTCCCCTTCTGTATCTTCATTCCCAGTTTTGGTTCTTTTTGTAACGCACTCCAGTGCCAATCTTGGGTAGGATAATTCACAAGAGTGGGTGCAGTTAGCCCTTTCTACTCTCTGCCATAAAAGCCTTTCCTTTCCCCAGCCTTATTATTGTCATCCACCCACTTTGTGTAGTAAATGATCCAAAGCCCACACATGAGCTTGACTTCACATCTGCAGTTGCAGTGATCATTGTAGTGTGGCTGCCACTTTTCTTCCTGTGTACATCTGTTGATGAAATATTTGTATCTGTATTCCCAAGACCTAGCATAGTGCCTACAAGGTGCTTAAGGGAAGATGAGCTGTGTTTTGAAATGTAAATGCATGTGAGAACCTCCTCATTTGACCATTGGCCTTCCTCCTTCTTAAACTTTGGAAAGACCAGAAGTCCCCTTCAGATATTTCTCAGTTTGTCAAAGCAAAACTCTAGAATAGCTTGCAAAGATGATGTTCTTGCTTCAGGGAGCAGACTGAGGAAGGCTATTAAGAATTCTTGTGTGCCGATGTGGCTCAGGGAATGCTAGAAGTGCAAAGCAGAGGTGGTCACATGTTTCTGGGCACATAGGAAGGAATGGCTCAGACACTTGATTTGATCTCTACTGTCCTACTGGCCAAAGATGACTTTCCTGAACTGGACCCTCAGTTTCTCACCAAACCTTTTTCCATGCTTTGCTGTCTCCAATGCCTTGCTACCTCTGAGACACATGGCTTCCGCCTCTTTTCAGGCACAGCTTTTCTCATTATAGCCTAGCTCCTAATCACTGGTCCAAGGGTGTTCTCAATCTTACTGTCTCACCTGCTTGGGAACTTGGATTTGGGCTCTGCTTCACTTTTTCCTCATCCAGCAGCTGCAGAGCAATTCTCTACATTCATACATCTGTGTGTCTCTAGCCAGACCAGCACCTGATCCCTAGCCACCCATCTACCACTCAGCCCTCATCCTCCACCTCCAGCAAGATGAGACTTGGTGTGTGTGTGTGTATATATATAACAAGTATTCAGTGACATCACATGCAAGTAGGAATTTACAGTCAAGAAGCAGGGTAAGGGTCAATGGGTGGAAAATTGCGAATAAAGTAAAGGGGATTCTGACTTAACCGAACTAACAATATTCTTTTTAACAACTGATCAGACATGCCCTAGGAGATGGGGAGGAGAGGCATGAGGAACTTGATCAGATACTGAGGATTATTAGACAGGATGGAACAATTCTTGCTAAACTGACTTAGCAAGGTTCTTTGTTAAAGTGAATTTTATAATACACAGAGAGACCTAACAGAGGTTCAGGAGCTTGACTAAAGTTTGTTCAAGCAAGAATCTTTGTCAAAGGGCAAAAGTAGGGGCTAGGGAAATGACTCAGTAAAGTGCTTGTTGCTCAAGCATGAGGACCTGAGTTCAGATCCACTGCACCCACAGAAAAACAAGGCACAGTGGTGTGAGCCTGTAATTCTAGGGCTGGGGAGGCAGAGACAAGAGGATGCCCGGAGCTTGTTGGCCAAACAGTGCAACCAAATTGGTAAATTATATGTTCAGTGAGAGACCCTGTCTCAAAGAATTGAATAAGACACTTGATATCAACCTCTGGCCTCTATACAAACATTCACATGCCACATACACACAAAGAAAAAAGGGGGCAAAGGCAGGTTTGTTTAATCTGGCCCATCAACTAACTTTGTATAACATTTTCTGTGGAGAAAAATGAAAATAAATAACCTATAGCAGACAATTGAAATTGTATATAAAATGTCAAGTTTTGTGTGAGAAGGAAATTTAATATTCTGTTCCCAGTAACTTCATCTTCTCAGTTTAAAAATCAAAGTCTAAGCTGGGGGTGGTGGTACATGCTTTAATTCCAGCACTTGGGAAGCAGAGGCAGACAGATCTCTGTGAGTTCAAGACTAGCCTGGACTACATAATGAGTTCCAGGCCAACTGGGGCTACAGGGAGACCCTGTCTCAAAAAGACAAAAAAGAAAAAAAAAATCAAATCTAGGCTAAGTAAATTTTTCTACAGCCATTGTTCTGATACAGAATCTAATGTTGCAACTGCCATAAGTTTATACTCAGAAATAAACATACTTTTTTTCTTCTATAATAGAATTTGGGTTTTTTTTTAATATTATGCATTGAAATTTGTTTTTCATATTGTAATGGTGCTGTCCTAAAGGAATGATGGCACTTTTCTCTCTAATCCAGACTTAGGTCGCTCTCGAGAACTGCAGTACGTGTATGTGGATAACAACATGCACCTGAAAGGCCTTCCATCCTATCTGTACAACAAAGTCATCGGGTGTAGCGGGTAAGGCTGACCTCACATTTTGGATTTAAAAATAGATGAGCTATTTTTGATAATTCTACTCAATTTTGTCTTTGGCCTTAATATGCTAAACCAAATACCCTTATGAACTGAGAATATTAGGCAAGCAATATAGAATATTGCATGTTGAGTTCATTTAGTAAGTTGTGGGTTCAATCAGTAAGTTGTTATTTTCCAGCCAAAAGAAAAATAAGACCACATGTACCTTTTTTTCTCTTTTTTTGCTCTAGAAATAGCCTTACTTTTGACTTTTG